ATAGGCAATCGTTCGATGGGCTGAGTTGCAAAAAACGCATGATCGCACCGGCTTGTCTATTTTTATTTGGAAGTGCGTCGAAGAGTGTGCAAGAAGTAGCAGAACCCAGGCTGGAACGCATCAGGCTTGCCGTTACGATCCTGCGTTTTTGCACCGAATTTGAAGTACTCAGGTCGTTAACTGCATAAATCGTTGTTGCTTTACACCTATCCTATGTGTTCACTACCGTGAATCATCGTAAATTTTGCATAAAGAGAAAAATGAACAGTTTCCGTTTAACGATTGTTCCTAGGAAATAACCTAGCTGTTCAATGAGGAATTTTACCGCGAAAACTTTTAAATGCCTGTATGCTAGAGCCTCGCATACACTGGGACTAAATTTGAAGACTTTAAATTGTACATGGACGGGGAAAATCCCTTTATCAGCCTTCCATCTTTTCTGATGATCGAGTTAGAAATTTTTTCGCCAATATTTCACGTGCCGGTACTTGAGAACCACAAATGCCTAGGGACTGAATTTGAATTCTTTAGCTCACACATGCACAGAGAATATCCCTGCAAATTTTCTGCTCTCTATCTTTCCTGGTCCCCGAGGTCGCTTTCCTTCCAACTAATTTACATATTTTTTAAGGTGTCCGTGTGTAGGACCCAGGCACGCACGGGTGTTGGCATTAAAACGGGAGGGTCGCACATGATGTGGGCACGTACTTCCGAAGTTTCAGCCTTCTAACTTTTTTGGTTCCCGAGTTGAAAGTGGGGGACAAAAAGTGCGAAAACACACACAGGCTTGACAATATAAGATTTACATCAACCTTTCCCTTCTGCCTATAGCCTTTTCCTTTTGCTTATTAGCCTTTTCCTTTTGCCTATGGGGCATTTACGGCCCGTACTGCCTTCTACCTTACATATATGCAAAAACGCATAAAAACAGTGTGAGCAAATTGCAAGCAAGCTAGTCAAGAATAAAAGGCCTGTTATACTTGCACCGGGCCTGTGAGTAATCACCATTTCTGAAGGCATTGGTGCCCTCGTTTTTGGAAACATCGCCAAAAAAATGCATTGCATGGCGTATACTTGAATAAAGAAACCAAAACGGTACGAGGGATAGCTGACATGAACAATCTGATGTTCCGAGATGCGTACATTCATCGTTCTGCTGATGATTCCCACTCCTACTCGCATCTGGTGCCCTGTATGTTTTTACAGCTAAAGGGTGCAAACTGACCTGATCCTGTTCTGTGTGGAAATTCTCATATAGCTTACTATGTATTTCCTTTATCAACCACATTCGCGACAGCTGTCTCTGCCGCAGATTTGGCTGGTAAATTTTTCCAGACGATCACTTCATGCCTGTTTGGTACCACTCATTGTTCCAAGCCATGCGCTCTTTCTGCGCCAGAGTTAACAAGCAGAAATTTTATCCATTTCTATGTCTGGTGGGAGCAAAAGCTTCTGGCTGAGGTGGTCTGCTGTCAAAACATAATTTTTGAGGTTGCTGACCAGAAACTGCATACGCTCGAACTACCGCTGTGTGATTTCTGAATAGCCACTGCTTCAGGTTATATGAATCGCGCTCGCGCCCGAATCTATGCATATTTGGCGCTTATTCTGCTCATTCGATGGCGAAGTGCAAAACAACGTAAAGTTACGGAAGCGTTGAAAGTGCAAAGCAAAGAGGGTATTATGGCGACTGCGTTGCGAGTTGGCAAGCAGCAATCCTGATAACT